CCCCCCCCTCTGGTAGCCGTCACAGCTGCTGAACGATTTCCTCTCACTGGGAGGCTCCTCCGAGTCACCGTGGCAGTGTCAAACGAGGCTCCTATTTAAGCTCATTAAATGTTTCCAAGAGAATAGGAAATCAATGGTGCATACCGGTGCGCGAGAACTTTTCTCTTAATTTAATTTCCCCTCCCCCTATCTGTTTGCACATCTCTCTCTCCTGTTTTTTTTCTCCCGTCATTCTCGCTTGTTCTTTGCAGCCCGTCGTTCTCCTTTAAGTGGTGGAGTTGGGGCGATGTGGGGCAACGGTTGCCTTCAGAAACCATTTCGGACTCGTATTTGTGACGGGCACCATGGTGTGAGGCTGCCCAGACTTTTCAGTTTTGTTTAGCCCTCACCACATGGAGGACAATCGACTTGAAAGTTTTGCTCACACTGACCTCAGCCCCGCAGTTTCAGCTTTTGTTTCAAGCGATGCTGTTAAGGGAACAGGTTTCGACTGGAACAGAATGCTGCTTTGAAAACGTGTAAGGGAGCAAGGCATGGGGATGCTTTGGATTGAGATGAACCCCAGTTTATACATACTCCCACCTCATGCTTCTTTCCTGTTTTGACTTCAACCTAACATCTCCTTTTTTGTCCATGTCTGTCTTTTGCTCATCAGAAGTTTTTCTTAGGTGTGTGTGCATGTCTGGCAGGGCTTTGTACTGTGTGAAACTATGCCTGGGGGCTGGGCCTACACCTTCTCTGGAGCTCCTGTAATTGCTCTTTTGGGGCCTTGTCTCTGGCTCCGAGCCCGTCTCCATCATTCTCACTCTGTCATTCTCCCTTGCTCTTTGGCCTCCTCCCTTCTTTTCTTTTTTTGTTTTGCCCTCACTCCGACCCCCTTCCCTCTCTTCTCTCCCTGCATGGCTCATTATGGCTGATCCCCACCTGCCCAATCTGGGAATTCTCTTTCCACACACTCGCATACACACAGAGCCACTCAGCAATTTTCAGAGCTGCCTGTCGCTCGGATAGTTTGTGTGCTATCTGCTATAAAACAGCTTTGCTAATACTGTTTGGCCGAGAAATGGAAACAATAGCGCCGTCACATTTTCTTCCCCCCTCCAACTGGTGCAAACAGACAGTTTCTCATCTCTGTCGTGGCTGTTTGGGCACCATTTTTAGTAAAGCCCTGGCCCTTCAATCCCCGGCTCCTGCCGTTGTATACACTAGCCTCAGGCTCCTATCCAAAGGCCTGGTCTTTTCCATTTCCATTCCAGCCCTCCTTCCAGCCTCTCACCCAGCTGCCTCACCATGCCTGTTCCCAGGCTAGGGGCCTTACTTTAAAGGATAATGGATTGGACCAGTTGCAGCTGCTCAGTAGCAGGGCACTATCATAGGAGTTATCTAAGGGCCTGAGTGGCCTGTGATGAATGGCTGGGAGCTGTGTCTCCACCGATCAATAAGCCACTAGCACACAGATGAGCTAGATGCCCCCTCGCTCTCCGTTCTCCCCGTCCACACATGCATCTCCCTCTCATAATATCCCACTATGTTTGTGAACTTTTCCCTCCAATTCATGGCCTGAATTGGGCCATTGATCTTTTATCCTCGACTTGTTTTAAATAAAGGGCCAGTATCTCCTCTCCACCCGAGCATGCAAGGTTTCTGACAGCACTTATTGCTACGCAGGCGGCAAAGCGCGCAAACATTACTTTAGCCTGATCGAAGGCCCGTAATCGGAGAGCAGGGAGAATGAGGAAAAGGGAGTATGAATCTGCTACTACCCCCACCCTGGTTTCCATCACAAGGTTGATGCAAGCAGAGCTCCCAGGTGGATATGCACACATGTAATGCAGACAAACACACACACACACGCATACACCAAACAGTCTTTCTGTCAGGCCTCATTGAGCGCAACCTGTCCCAAAGCACCCAAACAGCCCCACCCAATCTGAATTGAAATAGGATGCTGTCAGTTTACCCTCTCCTTTGTCTCATTGTTGTGCACACGTGTACGTGAGGTCTCTCCAGACCACCAAAGCGTGTACGTTGGTACTGCAGAACAACAGGTGTGTCATAGCTACTGTATGTGTTGGTTTTTGATCTGCTTTTTTTTTTTGCCGGCGAGGGATTTGCGATGAAAAGAGCGGACTGGAAATCTCTCTCTCCATCTCCTCTCCGGGGACTTTCAGTCGTCTGTATATTTGCCGCTTCTTCCTCGTCTCTCGCCTCTCCTCCCACTTCTCTAACCCGCAAGCTCTGATCTTCCCTCTAATCTGCCATTGTCTCTGTCACAAAGAGCAGATTTTTCAGCCTGGTAATTGCATGTCTGCTGGCCACCACACCTGTTGCTGTCAGTGCAGCGGTGTGGGAGAGAAGGGGGTCGCTACGCCCTCTGGCCTTCATGGTTCTAACCCCCTCACCACCACCACTACCAGGGAGGTGGGGGGTGTAATACACCATGCGTGTACATGTGTGGTATGGGGTGCTCTCACAGTTGATTGTGTTTACCTGCAACCTTGAGCTTCACCTCTAGCGTGCATGTGTGTCTTCTCAAACCTGGCCAGTGCTGATGCTTTTAACTCACTCTTTCTCTTTCTCTCTCTCCCTAATCCTCTCCTCCCCCTCTCCCCTGATCCAGAGCCCGGGCCCTTAATGAAGCTGGGGGTCAGCAGCAGTGTGCGGCTAATTGGCCAAGTTTGCCCGGGGCTCCGGCTGCCTGTGATTGAAGTGTCCAGCGAGGGCCCACTGTGCAGCCGCTGCTGCACCCTGTTCTGTTCCACTCCAACAGCCAAGACGCTCACTGCACCCCTGTCTGCGACTCCCTAGTGAGTAGCACCCGAGGTCATTCCATTTTCCTTTACACTCCCAATACTTTGTCCAGTTTTCGTTCTACTTGTATTATTTTCACCCAACGAAGAGTCCTCCGGCTCTGACTTTTCTCTGAATCACTTCTATATGTCTCTTCCTTCCCAAACTGTATTTTCTTTTTGCTAGACTAGACCACATTGGCTCTTAGCATTTCCTCACTTCTCTAGGCTTCTACCTCCCTCACACTCTTTCTCATCACTTGCCACTGTGGGATCCGGGCAATTACTACGGTCCCCCATTGGCCAACTGCCAGAAAAAAAACCCCAACAACTTCCAGCCCCTATTTCTCTCACTATGAGCCCAACAGTCCCAGCCCGGCCAAGCTGTACCACACTGCTCTGAGTTAACAGGAGTTGGAGGCGATGGAGGGGTGGGGGTGCCTCTAATTAATAGAGCCTCCACTTTCTACTCGTTAGGGCAGTCCTGGCTCCCATTGTTTGGCTGTCAGTACGAGAGTAGAGGTAGCAGGGCGATAGTGAACTCTGGGGAACGGACTGAGCAGATAGGGTGTACAAAGCAGAGGGAAGGGAGTGGGGCAATAGCTAACCATCCCACCGGGGAGACACACAGGCAAGGGTCAGCCCCCAAGTACCACAGTACACCAATGAAAACACATTTTTTTTTGTGATTGCGCTCATAGAAGTGGAACATTGCTGGCCAGTAAATGGTCAACACTGTGTGTTTGTGTGTCAGGAAACAATGGTCCAATTATAAGTCAAGTCCTGGCCTACAGCTTAGGGTAAGTTATATTCTGTCAAAACTTTATTTGCACACCGGTAGGTTTCTGTGCTTGTTTATTAAGGGCGGCAAGTAATTAAATTTGCTCCGATGCTCATTAAATGAAGATCCCCTGCAATTAACTGCTGATATAATCGTTTTATATAGACAGCTGTAAAAGCTTCTTCTGTTCATACTTCACTGAAGAGTTGGAACACGACCATGTTTAACCATGATTCACTCGGTCAATGAGGTGAATGAAAAGGTGAGGAATATTAACATGTAATTGCACAAGATGTACTGTATATACTATGTTTGGGTTTATTCACTGTTCATCATTTCCTCCTAAACGGTTTCTGCGGTGTACTTTAAAACCCAAAGCTGCCACAAAGCCTCAGGACTTGCTGGTTTTCTTAGTGTGCCTCACTCGTCCATCTGTGAAGGGTTTAGCTTGACAGGCGACTTCTTTTCTCACTCATCTTCTCCATAATCAGCCGCTTGCTTAGGTCATAACTCTTGTGCTCCACTTTCCATCACATTTCCTCCAGTATGTCTGCCAGCCTGCCCGCTGGTGTTAAAGAAACGCAAAATATGGCTCATTTGAAATGTAGGCTACCCCAGGTGGTTGTCCTAGCTGTGCTGAATTAATAGAAGTTGGGTGGAGACTCGAGCTACACTTGCGACTGAAAACACAGCACATTAAAAATGCACTCATCCTATTTTTAGAGTTTTGTTCACTGTTTTTGTCCCTTTGTTGTTCCCACGCTTCATCTCACATCCCAGAAGATAGTGTAAATGTCATGGTAATGACATGCTTTTTGGTATCCTTGAGGATTAGGAGGTGTCAGTCATTTCTCCCATGAGGCTTTGCTTTGGCACCACCCCGGTGCGAAGAGGTTCTTGGGGACGAATGAATTTGCACAAGAGCAAACAAATCTCTTGTTTTTGTCGTCCTTTATCTGCCGTGTTACTTTTAGAAACTTAACATTAATCGATGCAGTCAACTTTGCAGCTCCACATTCTTATTTGTGTTGGAGATGCTCATTTAGTTTACCTTTTTAAATGTGTTTCTTTGAAGGAAATGGCAAAAAAATTGGTAAACAAGACCATTTAATGGATAGTCGTACCTTTTGACGCGTAATATTTCAAAGAGGAAGCCCATACAAAATATTGTTTTTGAAAAAGGCTCCAAATTTGTTTAGAGTATTACTGACTGCGATACTATAACTTTTTGAATTTGGTTCATGTTAATCAAGTGAGGAGAAGAAAGCTGTCCAACATCAAAAGTCCTTTCTATGATATTTCAAATTAGTCCGAATTTAACTTTGCATCTCCAGAGATAAGAGTGAATAATTCATTTGTCAAACTGAATCAAAGTGATGATCCTTACTTCAATGTTTGTGTTCTTTGGAAACTGAAATTGTCCCAATGATTTGTCGAATGACAATGTGTCATGTAATCTAAAGCTCATTGCTATAAGGTTAAATAACTTCCAGGTCATGTGGTATATTTATTTTTCTCGTTAACTGTACAGTCATTTCTGTTCTCTCTGCGGTGATAAATGTATAATTAAATTCCAGGCTTTCTAAATTCCTCATCACCAAAGTATTGCAGTACTCTAAACTAAAAATGCTGCTAGCGCCCTCCAGACGTACCTGCCAGATGATAAACCTAAATCACCGCAGGCCAACACAGACACGGGGCCCTCATCACCTGCCTACGTCTATCAAATGCCATGTCCGTGCGGTACCAAAATAATATAAAACACCTTGTTCCTGACTCATCACCCCACCTCCTCCAAGCTCCCCCATCTCCAACGTGGAAGGGCAGCCCTCCAGTTTTCCATCGCCCCCTGTGAATGTCCAAGCTGTCGAGGCTGACTGGGCTGAACGTTTTCTTGCCAGGGCACAGTTGGAACAGATCCGGCCTCCGGGCCACATATACTGCTCCACTCCAGCCCCTGCAAACAAAGCCTGCCCTGCACAACTGTCATCTAAATGCTAAGCGCTTTGGATCGTTACGGTAGATTCCTTTTGTACATACTTAATCATTTTTTGAGACGGCTTGTCCTTTAAAAGCCTTACATGCTTTGCAGCTTGCTGAGCATGAGCTGCTGTTTGAGCAGGTTTTGTTATCAATAGAGAAATAGTCTTTTGTTAATCAACAAGGTGTATGATTGCAGAAATCTGTAAAGACCATGCAGGTGTTTTTGTGTGGTTCCCCTATTTGAGGATTATGGGCTGTTTTTTTTACTCTGAGGCATAGTTTTTTGGAGCAACAAAGTATTGCAATGGTATATCTTTCAGATGATGGTATAAGAACTGTCTGCCAAGTTAATCGTCCATCTGCACCCTTGGGGGGCTGAGAAATGTGGCCGTCAGGCTTTACGGGAACATAAGCTAAACAGTCCGGCCCACTTTAAGGGGAGGCACGTAGAGAGACAGACTCCAGACGAGCCTCTCAAACTGTTTCATATCAAATCCACAGACATACAAATCTCCACAATGATCTGCCAAGTTCCTGCAGAATTCACTGGAGCAGGGATAGCAGAATTTCACACCCGTGCCCCGAGCCCCCTCTCCCCTCCTCTCAGCCGTCACTGGACGACGCTTGGCAGCAGAGGGTGATGAGAAACATCTGCGAAAGTCGGTGTGTGTGTGCGAATGGTTGAATACACTCGCCAGATACAAAAAAAGTTTTTATGTTTTTTTTTATTTTTGGAGGCATCTTTTACATGTCAGCAGACAAGTCAATTATTGTAACATAGATATCACAGTGGATGAAATATGAAAATAGATACAACATGCAAACTGTTTTAGTAGTTAAAGGCTCCAGGGCTGATTTTTTTATTTATTTTTTTTTTTATCGATTCTGCAGCTCTGTTGGCAGATAAACGAGCAGGAGCAAGTGGGAAAAGAAGAGATGATAATGCACTTCCTTTTGTAGCTAAATTACTTCCTGTGGCTGGCAAAGAGGAAGTAGAGGCAGCCCCCTATTGCTGACATTTTCCTATTTTTACTCATTTGTCTTGACAATAGCAATGTTGTGTTTGCATGCTGACTAATTGTCAGGAAAAAAACTAAGAAACAATGATTCAGCAGGTCCTCCGGATGCTCCTGTGCAGCTGCCAGAGATGTGACTGCTCAGAGTCACTGAAGTCTCTTTTATTTGGGTGTGCTGAGCATTATAAATAATGAAATGGAGCCAGTAATTGGTGGTTCTTGGTAATTAGGACCAAGCTGTCAGCTAGCAAAGTTGCAGCCTGATGGTGGTGCAGCAAGGGCAGTAATTACTATTATCTATGGGGGTTGTTGACGTAACAATAATCCCATTGTTAACCAGGATAGGGGAGCTTATGTTTACTGTCCCCATTTTTAAGAGGTTCATCCACAATAATGCAGCTGACATAAATCCTTAAGTATTTGAGTTAATGTCTGTCAAGCTAACACAAACATAAACGTAGAGGGAGACCCCGTGGCCTTCAATTTTCTACTTGGTGACGAAGCGTGTCCATATATTTCCACAAGTTAAACAGTTGGACTTTTCCCCTGCAAGCGGTGTGACGCCCAACCATAAACGGCATTATCAACTATCTCAGCAGGTTTTCTAATTCCCCTGTAATCCTGTCATTTCATTCATGGATACCGCCTGGGTTATTCTGGGCCCGGAGCATATCTGCCCGCCTGTCTCTGCTCCTCTGTGTGCGAGATTGGATTTCCCAACTCCCCTTCTGCTCCGCCTTGACACACACACACACACACACACACACACACACACACACGTTCATGCCCAAGTGTTTGCTCATCTCTTGTCAGATCCCCATAGTGTAAATAGGCTGGTCAGACCTGATGATGTATAGGGTAGAGGACAATGGCACCGTATACCGTGTAGGGGATGAGTCCTAGTTGCAGATATTTACTCGCCCTCGCTGAAGTGAAATTCTGCTCTTCTGGCTCAAGACTTACAAGCACAGCATTTGCCCCATGAGATGAAGCAAGCTAATGGCCTCAAAAGCAGAGTACCCAGGTGACATCTCCTCCTCCTGAAATCCATGCAAAGTAATGAACCTGCCGGAGACTCGCATGACTTTATGCAAGAAAGTGTGATTATCGGGTGATTTGAAGGGGGCAGCTTGGGGACGTGAGGGTGAGTAAAAGGCAGGCAAGTTGCTGTTTTCCTCCATACTGTAGCACACAACACGCAAATTGCATCTGCTCTGAATTAAACATGTGGCTCGTTGCTTGAGGCGTGATGGA